GGCCACGGCTTGCTGTTATCAGGCAAACATGCAGCACACTGCCATCGGTTGCACCTGTGGCACCGCCGGCCCGCAAGCACTCTTCGCACTGAGCGATCAGCACTGGGGATTCATGAAGGCGAAGAGCGGGAGTCTTGGCGACGTTCGTCTTATACGAGTGCAATGGCGGCGGTGACAGGAGCGGAAAATGCTGCTCGGGGGATTGCTCCCACACCAGGGGTCCCTCGGGCGAGGTGCGACATCCTTCGCAGCCGGCAGGGCCTAGGGAGACGGTCGCGATCGCAGGAGGCAAAAATGTACTACTACTAGTAGTAGTAGCAGTAGCAGAGAGAGCAGTATTGTTGTGAGATTGGTGTTGAAGGTTGTGGTTGTGATGGTTATTGTCGCTCCCATAATATAGATTTGAATCGTGTCTGGTACCCCTACACAAGGGAGCGTCGAAAGATATTACTCCTTGGCAGAGCTGCAGAGTGCGAGCCCATCCGTTCTGCACAGAGGGAAGTTTCAGGACCTCGCCTGGTTGGCAGTACCACTCACTGCCCAGAGATAGGCAGCCTGGGCGGTTTGTGCGGTCCCCTGATCGGTCGACAGGATCCTCCTCCGCCTGCACAACGGCCGAGCCTAAATCAGAGTGATGCGGGGCGCGATGACGCTGACGGTGTCGGCGATGGTTCGACGAATCTCGGTGGCCAAGCGTCGATGTGTTGCAGACCGGCAGCTTCCTGTTGTCTGATGGGCTTGCGCCGCTTGCAGGAGTCGCAGGAGTCGCAGCTATGGGCTTGGGTGAGAAATAGTAGATCCCCTTGACTCTTGGCGACCCCTTGGCGCGGCCAGGCCGTACCGCATACTCGATGGCCTGCCTCAGCTTGCGCTCGTCCAGGTGCAGGCAGCCCCGGATGGAGAGGAGAGAGACGCGGAAACGGTCGGTCAACAGGATATCCGAGACCAGCTGTGCCGTTACCGGGAGGCCGTCCAGAACCAGCGTCCGGACGTCCTGAAGGACCGACCTGCGTCCCAGGTCGTCAAATATTGTCCGCAGGGGCGCGGAGTAGATCTGCTCGTCTGCCGGCGTCTCTTCAGCGGCGGTGGCAGCAGCGGTGTTGATGTTTCTGTCGACGGTGCGCATCCACGAGAGCTGGGCGCCCTTGCAGCTGGTAAGATCTAGATACCGGAAGACATAGGGGGTGTCCATGATAAGGGCACGCAGTGCTGTACAGGTTGAGGCAAGAGACAGGAGGGATGCCACCGAGAGATAAGGAGTAAGATGATCCAGGACGAGCGAGTTGGAAATGACATCCCAAAACGACGTCGGCCGTCTCCTCAGCCGAGCTGTTCTTCTGCGGTGCTCTGAGGTGAATGTCGGTAGGCTGATGCTGCTTGAGGCCGCTACGCGTTCGAGAAGGTGGGTTTTATACGCAGCCATGGCGGCCCCGGTAACATCATCCTGGAGGGTGGCATAGCACGGTTCTGGCTGGGACTGAAGCTCCTCCAGCGCTGCTCTGGCTCTGGCAAGCTCGGTCTCCAACAGATCGATAGTGGACTGCAGCATTGCCGGCATGGCTCTCACGCTGAGTGGATCAACAGCTGTCAGGAGAGTTGCCCATATCTCGGGTGAGGCCATCGCCCGTCTCTTCGAAGCAGTTCCCAAGAGAAACACCGTTGAGGAGGCAGGATTAAAGCCGATGAATAGCTCAGTTGGCGCTGAGAGTGAAGTTTGATGGTATCTTTAGCTCTTTGAGAGACCTATCTAGCCAAGTAGGGCCTGTTTGAGATAACGACAACGTGGAAAGCCAGCAGGGGGATAGAGGGGGAGAGAGGGAGGGAGAGAGTTGCTCCTTGGAGTACGCAAGGCCTGAAAAGCCAGACGAGCTGGATGAAGTTGGGGAGGGAGATATAAAAAAGGCCAAGGACTACCCAAATAAGCAATTATACCAGTTGTCTGATAAAGGACCAAAAGGGAGAGAAAAAGAAATTACATATTAAAATTAATAATAAGAACCTGATAACTTGAAGATTGATCATGGTGGCTGGCGAGGGAGACATCCTATTAGTTAGACAATTGCTTAGCGAAAGGCTTGAGGGCAGCACGGCGAATTGATGCATCCCAAGACGGTACGGGAGAGCAGGGTCGGGTAGGCGGATACCGAGTGGAGAGCCCCGTATACATTTATATACTATAATAGCATGGCTACTACATAGTATGCAGTAGGGAGGCCGAAGAAACCTGGGGAAACACGCCTCATGGAAGAGCGTACCGTGTGGGAGAGGGGAAGGGAGTTGTGGGCTCCATGAAACTTCTGAACCGTAGACATTGTAGGGATGCCGAGATGACGGCACTGATATGTGTAAGCATAGAGTATGGGCTGCGTATACTTAACCCTTCCAATGTGGCCCTTTGCTCTGTGTATTGGGCCCGCTCGTATAGGTGCCATGTGTAGGTGTCCTTTCACGCGACAGAAATGGAGATGGTAAGGCTTAGAATTGGGATAAGAGAGAGGTCAGCTGGCTGCGAGGGTCCCATCATACCAGTCTGTTTATCTGCCTCGATTGCTTTCTTTTTGCGGGGGAGCCTTCACCATGCAGCTTCGATTCCCACTCGTTGGAATAGCCCTGTATGTAATACAGCTATACAGACATACTATGTATGTAGTAGGAGACGGCGTGAGAGCTGCCGATCAATCTTCGTCACTGAAAGTTATTGGCGGTGCGAGATGCCGGACGATGTATGTATTGTCATAGGCGGCATGCGGCCCCGTAGGAGTCGCAGGGTACGATGTATGCATACCCCATGCCGTACTATAAGTATGTGGACACTTGCTGGCGGAAAAGAAAGCACAAGCTTTTTTAGGGATTTCGGCCCCGACTGCGAGTCGGCAGCAGAGTCGGCGTGATTTATACATGTAGGAATAGAAGAAGGTCTTGTCTACTCTGGCCAGTTGTGTAGAATGGGCTAGTGCTAGACACTGCTCCAGGGTGAGGGGATGGTGCATATGTATCCTCCTATCAGCAGTTCTGAAGACGGTTGCTTTGTGTATGTGTATGCTGATGTGCTTATGGAAATGACCCGGACCAGTAAATAAAGCTGGGGGTCATACAGTGTTGTGTTGCACGAGCAGGGATGGCCTGAACAAAGAGGCAGCCTTGAGCTTTGCATATCATCGCTATGTAGTGTACAGAATAGAAGGATTAAGAAGACTGGCGCTGACGGTCACTGGCTTCAAGAGAAAATAGGCCTGGCACCGTGCAATACACTGAGGATGGGCAGCGTTTCTGTGCATCCGTGATTTGGGGAGGTGGAGATGTAACCACGATGATCCATATAAAACCCATTTTTGCCCGTTGATATCGCTGTTCCGTTGCACTTCTACTTCCACAGCTTGCCGAGACTGACCTCCTTATCGTCGTGTTTATTGAGAACCTTGGCTGTTGCAAGATCAAAATCTTCCTGCGTAACATGTACCCGTCGCTCTCGCAAGGCATACATGCCAGCCTCGGTACATACTCCCTTCAACTCAGCACCAGAGCAGCCGTTCATCTTCTCGGCGATCTTGGTTAGGTTGATGCCGCGAGTTAGGTTCATCGAGCGTGAGTGGATGCGAAGGATGTCAGCTCTGGCTTCGACGCTGTAGCAGGCAGGAAAATATTAAATCAGTTCTCAAGTCTCGCAAAAAAGAGGGTGGGAATGTGAATATAAGGCTCTAACTTACGAGGGAGGTGGGAATTCAATCTTTCTATCTATCCGGCCGGGCCGCAGAAGGGCTGGGTCTAGGATATCCAGCCGGTTGGTGGCCATGATGATTTTGATGTTTTTTGTCGGCTCAAACCCGTCTAGCTGGTTGAGAAGCTCCAACATGGTACGCTGGACTTCTGAATCGCCCCCGCTGCTTCCCTCCACTCGGCTGGAGCCGATGCTATCGATCTCATCCATAAATATGATACTGGGAGCATGCTCTCGAGCCATGACGAAGAGCTCTCGAACCATCCTGCTTCCCTCACCAATATACTTCTGTACAAGCTCCGAACCGCTGACCCGAATGAACTTGCAGTCTGTATGGTGTGCAACTGCACGGGCTAGCAGAGTCTTACCTGTCCCTGGGGGCCCATAGAGCAGCACACCTTTCGGTTGTGCGATGCCGAGGGATTCAAAAAGCTCAGGATGCTTGAGGCCTAGCTCGATAACTTCCTTGATCTCCTTAATCTGCTGGTCCAACCCGCCGATCATATCATAGGTGCTGTCTGGGACCTTTTCGACCATCATCAGCGACACGAGGGGGTCAACAGAAGAAGGCAGCATCTTCTCCAGCTTGTACGAGTCAGACAGAAGAGAAACTCGTTTGCCGACCGTCAACTTGGCGATATCGACGCCGTCCGCAATATCAACCACTGAGGGTTTTGTGTCTCGTTAGCACAGCGGACGCGTTACCAGGGAGTTGTAGGATAGGTAAACTCACCGTATTTCCCTTCTGGATGGACCTTGACGAGGACCTTCTTCGTGCCCATGACCTTAACAACCTCACCGACATAAGAGCCTGGCTGCTGCAGCAGACCGAGCTCCTCCCGCAGTAATCTCACCCTTGAGTTATAGTCGTTCCTCTGTGCCTCTAATCGTCTGAGAACAGCTTGTCCTTGGATAATCTCGAGCTTCATGCTCTCTATCTTGTTCCGGTAATAGCTGTCGAGCGCCATGGCGTCCAGTGCTGGGAAGAGGTTCTGACGGAGAGTCGGCTCGGTGGCCTATAGGCGAGGACGATGCAAGAAGTGCCAGAAGGAGAGGCCGGATGGAAACAGAACGAGCCTGGTATGTCGATGTCGATGTTGACGTTTTGTATGTTTTGTTCACTTTCGAAGTTTCGCCAGAAGGAAGAAAGCTTTGACCGTCTTCTCTGATGCTGACTAATTAATGACTAACACATGACTCATCTGCCAAGAACATAAGATGACCAAGAACTTACTAAGCAGTCATCTGCCGCGGTCACGTTTTTTTTGTTCCGCCCGGAAGAAGCAAAAAAAAACATCGCCGGAAGAGAAAAGAAAGTCAGCTGGAAAAGAAGATAAGAAGAACAAAGCGGCATCCAGTTGCTATAAAAGCCCTGAGCTGTATCTGACAGACACTTGGCTCTTTGTCCCCTTGCTGCACCCCCCCGAGGAGGAAGAGAATGAGCGGCTAGTTTGGTTGTGTGTTGTGGTACCGCCCGTTAACAGTCCCGTTTCCGAAGCAACACCACCTCGACCGACAGCTATCTAATATATTGGTATATATACCTGTGGCTAGCCTGAGCCTGGCTATTGTGCGACCTCTCTGATATGAATAGGCCTGGGTTTACGTGTGGGATACCTGGTCGCGATTCGTTCGCTGTGAGGCGGAAGATATAATACACTTGAGCCCACGGTACTGTTCCAGCAACAGCAGCCATGGCCTCGTCCGCCGGAGACGACCATGACACAGAGAACAGCCAGGAGCAGTCGTCCTCTGTGGCTTCTAGCCCGAGACAGTTTGCTCCCATCACCAGGACTGAGAGCGAGCGTGCAGAGGCACTTGCAGACAGCCGCAGTGGGAATACCTACGGTTTGTAGTACAGCTTGAAAAAAAGTCTCCCGGACTACCTATGTTGTTGCTAACTGTTATGCCAGGGACCATGGCCCAATCTGGCAGCTCTTACGCCGAATCTGCAACCTATGACCCCTCGAGGTCGCCCATGATCGAAGCCATGTCTTCGGAAAGGACGCCAAAGAAACCCGCAATTCTTCGTCGCGTTTCCTCCAAGCCCCACCGAGGCCAGGAGTTTTCGGTTGACGACGATGTGACCGAGGTCGAAGACACGGCCCTGAGGGTGCCAGCTCTCTCTGGTCGATCTACAGCTCGACAACACCCCACCCTTCGGCGGAGGAGCGTCGTACCCTCGACACTGCTGACCCGGGTAGACTCCGAGGACGAGCGACCAGGTGGCCCGACGGCTGGTGGTAGTCAGGCTGATGATAACGAAGAGGATGATGACGACGACAACGGTGATGAATTGGCTGGAGACGCCGGTATTGATGATGACGGCAGTGATGCCGAAAGCTTCACGCTCAAGGACAGGCAGCAAGCTATAAACGAGACTCACCCGTTCGGCATCAGGATCTGGAAGCCGGCATTGTATAAGAAGCTTCGGTCCGTCGAAAAGAATGCAGAAGGAGATATTCATTCGACTCCAGGCCAGCGTGTTAGTCCATGGCTCTTCTTGGCCAATATTCTGTGGACGGTGCTCTTCGGGTGGTGGCTGGCGCTGGCAGCCCTCATCGGTGCTGTTGCCTGTTTTGCCATCGGCTTCTCGCCAGACTCCTCTGCATACGGTAGGGTCTTCTGGGGACTATCCTGCTATCTGCTATACCCCTTCGGCTCGATGGTTCGCCTGAAGCCTGACGAGAATTACGCGGATGAGGATGAGGGCGAAGGAAGGAGCATCAGTGAGTACGAGCAGTGGCAGAGCGGCGATATCGAACGGGGTGGTTTATTTTTTGGCCCAGTTGCAAATGCCCGGCCCTTGGTAGGCCGGCGCAGGAACAGCATGGACTCTGCCAGCGAGCGGGACAGCCTGCTTGGTAGAACTGGGAGGCACCATTCTGATGACAGTGACGCATCCAGAACTAAAAGGCGCCTCTTCGGACGGGGTGAATGGACCACGGGTCGGGTCATGTTTTATATATTCTTCTATCTTCTAGTCGGCCCACTGCTGCTTTCGGTCTCTCTTCTCTGCTGGATCCTCGTTTTTTGGATACCGATGGGTCGTGTTACCGTCATCTTGTTTCATCATCTTCGTCGGCACCCTCTTGCTTTGTCCTTTCACTCTGATAGCACCTACACCAGGCTACAGTCCGGCCCCTCATCGTCGATTCTCCTTTGTACTTACCGTGCAGCTGGCTTAAAATACTGGAAATACACCGTTGATGGGACTAACATCTTTCTTATTAACCTGCTGGCTGTCGTCTTCTTCGTTATCTTTGACTTTCACGTCTTGCGCAAGATCTTTCCTACCGATAACTTCATCACGCACCCAGGCCTGATATTTGGGATGGCGCTGATTGCTATAATTCCCCTTGCTTATTTCATCGGGCAGGCTGTTGCATCAATATCTGCCCAATCGTCTATGGGCCTAGGGGCTGCTGTCAATGCTTTCTTTTCTACCTTGGTGGAGGTATACCTCTACTGCATCGCCCTCTCGCAAGGCAAAGCCCAGCTTGTCGAAGGAAGCATCATTGGCAGCATATTCGCCGGTATCTTGTTCCTACCCGGAATATCAATGTGTTTTGGAGCAATCATCCGCAAGACTCAGCGTTTTAATGTGAAGTCAGCTGGCGTGACGTCGACAATGCTACTCTTTGCTGTCATTGCTGCCTTTGGGCCCACACTCTTTTATCAAATCTATGGCAGAGTACGTGACCCCCTTCATCTTGTCCAACAGCATAATTTGATTAGAGCTAATATTTGCCTAGCACGAGTTGAATTGCCATGCTTGCAGTCATGTCAAATCATCTGGCGGCAGAGATTGCAGTCGCTGTTACTTCTCCCAGGTCCCCGCTGTCGACGATGACTTCTTCATGAAGGCGGTGCAGCCCTATTCCTACTTTGCAGCGGTGCTACTGTTCCTTTCATATATCATTGGACTTTGGTTTACTCTTCGGACCCACGCTGCGATTATTTGGTCAACCGACACGGACGAGAAGAAACCACATCATGACACCCATAGGCTCGCCTCTCATACGTCCTTGGACCACATGCACGGCAACCCCAGTCTCAAGGGCTCCATACGAGACTCTCAGCTGTATGCGCGAATCCTTGGACAGTCCTTGAAACATGTTGGTTTGACACCTAGCTCCGACCAATCTACAGCAACCTTCAGTCCTGGCGACGGTGCAACGGTTCATGTTGTACCTCCAAAGGACAAGAACAAATGTCAGGCCCCCTACAACATGGCCATCCCTTCCCTGACTGCTGAAGAAAACGACCGATTGGTGCGTCAGGTGACAGAAGTGGCAGCAACAGCGGCTACAGTTGCTGCCAGGGATGCAGCCGGCCCAAGGCCTGTAGCGGGCACACCGGGTATGAAGACGCCTGTAGGGACAATTGGAACTCCAACAATTGGGCGTCCAGAAGAAGCGGGAGTGTTTACTGAGCCTCATGGAGAGCCTCATGGGCATGATGCACCCAATTGGGGCAGGACGAAGAGTTTCGTCATACTGCTCGTTGCTACTTTGCTGTATGCAGTGATTGCTGAGATACTGGTGAACACGGTTGATGTGGTGCTACAGAGCTACGAAATTGACGAGAAGTTCCTCGGGATTACCCTCTTCTCCTTAGTCCCTAACACTACAGAATTTTTGGTGTGTACCCTTCGTCAGTAATGCCATTTTTGGGTGGTAACCATGCTAACAGTTGTAGAATGCTATTTCATTTGCAATGAACGGGAACATCGCGCTGTCGATGGAGATTGGCTCAGCATATGCGCTGCAAGTGTGTCTTTTACAGATCCCAGCTCTGGTACTTTTCAGTGCTGTCCATACTTCCATATTCAACCCTTCTGACCTTCTTGGCCATTCATTTAAGTAAGACTGAACAACCTTCCTCCCTCTGATTACGTATGAGCTTCATCGCTACGATGCTAATAGTTGTCCCTGATCTAGCCTAATATTCCCACAATGGGATATGATAACAGTCATCCTGTGTGTCTTTCTCCTGTCATATGTCTACGGGGAAGGAAAGAGCAACTACTTCAAAGGCTCAATCCTGCTGCTCACGTATATCTTCGTTGTCATGGGCTTTTACTTGTCCGGCTTGAGCACGATGGGTATCAGAGGAGGAGGTCAGCTTCACTCTTTAGCGCTTGGCGTGGTAAGGAGCGAGGACGGATCGTTTCAAACCAGCGGTTGAATATGGGCAGCAAAGGTTAGGCGGAAGCACAGAGTTATACATATAGGGAGGAGGTCGCAGGTTTCAATATATATGCGGTAATTTGTGGTGGAGGACATATTGTATATAAACTCTCGGATGCTATTTCTATTATCACTGTTTTTGAACCAGCAGTGCCCTCGGTTGATGCAATTATTACCATCATGCTAAGTATACAGCTATCGGCAATGCCCTTTATCCTGTCTGGGCTTGCCTCGATGCATTCCTGACTGTGTATCCTGCTAGCCTCAGCATATTTGACAGGTCGAGCAGCGCTGGGCACAAGCATCACGCATCAAACCAACCAGAGAATTAATGACCCCACGGTCAAGGGTGGTACTTAACATATCAAAATATATAGCTGACAGGGAATCCCCATGTTATGCCATATGCGCCTCTTGCAGCGCCGAGTCAAAGCTGCCTCTTAAGAGGTTTCGTAATGTAACTATTCATGCTTCTTTTGCTGCCTAATGGGCACACTGCTAACCTCGATAGATCAATAATACTGGGAAGGGGGGAAAGACTCTGTCGAAACAGGTTTCGCTTCTTTTTTCATTTGCTTATCTTCCCCGGATATTCGTGTTGATGGCCTCATCCCCTGTCCCTGTAGACTGCCCCCGGCCACCTCGTATCACTGGCAGCAAAACGGGCAAACCTCGCCCATGTACGGAGTAATATACAGGGACAACTTCAAACCAGGCCATAAAGGCTCCCCGGCTACCACTGCCGTCTCATGCGGGGTTGCTTCAACGGCATATCTCTCGCAAAATATTTAAATATGCGGGTGTTTCTGCGTTGATGGCCAGAGGGAGATAGAAAGGGACAGAGGTAGACAGCAACGCTTGATATTCCTCCCTGGTCTCTCTATATTTGAAGTTCAACCATCGACTATGCGGCCCTTCGCCAGAGCGGCACTCTGCCTATTGGCAGCAGCTGGACATCTTGCCCAGGCCCAATTCCCTCCCAGGCCGGAGGGAGTCACCGTTCTGGAATCGAAGTTTGGCGGCGGTGCTCGCATCAGCTACAAGGAGGTCAGTGACCATCATTGGATGGCCGAAGCAGCTGTCTAGGGGAAGTATTGCTGACTTGAACAATAGCCTGGTCTCTGCGAGACGACAGAGGGAGTCAAGTCCTATGCTGGATATGTCCACCTACCCCCAGGCACGCTCAAGGACCTCGGTGTGGAGCAGGACTATCCCATCAACACTTTCTTCTGGTTCTTTGAAGCAAGGAAGGATCCTGAAAATGCGCCCTTGTCCATCTGGATGAACGGTGGCCCAGGGAGCTCGTCGATGTTTGGGATGATGACAGAGAACGGGCCCTGCTTCGTCAACCCAGACTCCAACTCGACCCGGCTCAACCCTCATTCATGGAATAATGAAGGTAATAATATGACCATATCCGTTGAGTTGTGGCGGTTGGAGCATAGTTAACGTTTATATCCTGTTAAATAGTTAATATGCTCTATCTGGACCAGCCAGTGCAAGTCGGCCTGTCTTACGACACCCTCGCTAATTTCACCAGAAACCTGGTCACCGACGAGATCACCAAGCTGGAACCCGGAGACCCAATTCCTGAGCAGAATGCTACGTTCCTGGTGGGCACTTATGCCAGCCGCAATATGGACACCACGGCCAAGGGAACCCGCAATGCTGCCATTGCTCTCTGGCACTTCGCACAGGTATGGTTCCAGGAGTTCCCAGGCTACCATCCCCGAGACTCTAGGATCAGCATCGCTACTGAATCTTACGGTGGTCGCTACGGCCCAGCCTTTACAGCCTTCTTCGAGGAACAGAACCAGAAGATAAAGGATGGTACGTGGAATGGGAGCGAAGGCAACAGGCATGTGCTACACCTCGACACTCTCATGATCGTCAATGGCTGCATCGACCGACTGGTCCAGTGGCCAGCATACCCGCAGATGGCGTATAACAACACATACAGCATCGAAGCTGTCAACGCTAGCATCCATGAAGGAATGTTGGATGCTCTCTACCGAGAAGGTGGTTGCCGTGACAAGATCAACCATTGTCGCTCTATCTCTGCCGTCTCCGACCCGGAAAACATTGGTATCAATGCAATGGTCAATGATGTCTGCAAAGATGCAGAGACCTTCTGCTCTACCGAAGTGCGCGACCCATACCAGGAATTCTCGGGCCGAAACTACTACGACATCGGACAGCTTGATCCGAGCCCGTTCCCAGCGCCTTTCTACATGGCATGGTTAAATCAGCCACATGTGCAAGCAGCGCTTGGTGTGCCACTCAACTGGACCCAGTCGAATGATGTCGTGACCACCGCGTTCCGTGCCATTGGCGACTACCCACGGCCGGGCTGGCTGGAGGATCTGGCGTACCTACTTGAGAACGGCATCAAGGTCTCGCTCGTCTACGGCGACCGGGATTATGCCTGCAATTGGTTTGGTGGCGAACTGTCAAGTCTGGCGATTAACTACACTGATACACAGAACTTCCACAATGCTGGATATGCTGGAATTCAGGTCAACAGCAGCTATATTGGTGGCCAGGTGAGGCAGTACGGCAATCTCTCGTTCTCCCGTGTCTACGAAGCCGGTCATGAGGTACCAAGCTACCAGCCTGAGACCGCCCTGCAGATTTTCCACCGTGCGCTGTTCAACAAGGACATTGCCACAGGCACCATCGATACATCCTCCCGCAGAGAGGACGGTAAGTTCTACGGCTCCTCGGGCCCTTCGGACTCGTTTGTGTTTAAGAACGAGCCACCACCGCAGCATGTGCACTTCTGCCACATTCTTGATACCAGTACCTGCACAAAGGAGCAAATTGAGTCTGTCGAGAATGGTACCGCCGTCGTTCGAAGCTGGATCGTGGTTGATTCCAACTCAACCTCCTTATTCCCCGAGGTGGTGGGCTCGGCTGAGCCCACTCCTATGCCTGGAGCTGCGGTGGGATTGTCTGCTCGTGATTGTCTATATAGAGTGGGAATCTGGGCCGGTATCATAGCTACTGCCATACTGATACTGTAGATTCATGAGAGGGAACGAAAAAAAGAGAGAAGAACGGAACTTGCAAGGTTAATTATTGATCCAGGCTAAGTGAGCCACAGCCCTCTTCGTCCATTTCCTCCAATCCATGCAGTTAGTTTCTGGTAGGATCAAGTTTCATGTTCATGTTATCAAGTCTTTCGACTACTACATCTTTATATAATGGGTAGTCTGCCACCTTGGATTATCCTGCATTATAGAGTACGTAGTTACCCTTGTCGCTCAATACGATGAGTGTCGTTTCCCCTACATAGACTTTGAGACCCTCTCCTCTTGCTCCCAGTCTATATCTGGGTCGAGGCCTTCATCGTCGTCGTCGTCGCTTGATGCTTCATAATCAGAGTCGTCCGACCACTTCTTTCTTGTTTCTTGAGTGATACGTTAGTTTAAGTTGCACTATTTGTGTATACATCAAAGCAGGCCAGCACTCACTCTTTAGCTCATGCTCGTGACTTAACTAGCGCATGTAGTTGGAAGTCGTTGTCCTCTGCGTCCCTCGATGGATCTTTGTAGTTTCCGTCGGCATCTCACGAGAAAACCTAAAGAACGGATAGTTAGTATATTGTAAAGGTTATGAGAGGACATTATATTACCTCACAGCTTAAGGGTTGACGGCGTGGATGAATATCTAGGAGTAAGACAAAACTACTAGTTGATGTAAGGGATACAGTAAGGTGTATGAGCTGCTTAAGCCCAACCCCGTTAAGTCAATATTCTTTGTAGGATTTAAATACCGTTCCATAGCCCATCCTCAGTCAATCCACTACCCAGTTGTCAATGCATACATAATCTGTGACAATTGCCACTCTATCGGATATTTAGGGATCCGTTCAAACAACATATCTGTAAACAAAACTGCGGTCCACCTTCTTACAGCCAATGCTGCATATTCAAACCCTTCAGGATAAATCCCAGCATCGCCCCAGTCAATCAGCCATACCTTACCCTTGGGATCTAGTATCAAATTCCGGGGTGCGATATCTTGATGTGTAAGAACCAGCTTGTTAATAGAGAACAGTGGAACAGTATCTGGAGCTTGCTTGAAACTTTGGCAAATCTCAAGTTTGCGGTTAAACCAAGCCTCCATTGCTGTAATATCCCTGAATGGGCCCCCTCCTATATCACTAAACCAGCACCCTTTGGCCTTGCAAAGTTGACAGGCTACCGGTCCTGGCTGTTGGGGTACCTCAGCTGACTGCAAAGCAAGAAACATAGAAGCCACCTGGGAAATAATATCTTCACGCTGATTCTGGCTCAAGCCCTCCCAGCAATCCTGAACAGTGTCGCTCTCAATGAAATCCATGACGAAGTAACATTGGCATCCGAAAAAGGTGTTTTGTGTCTTGGTATTGAGGACTCGATGAACTTTAGGGACCGGGATTGACGTTTCCGCCTCAACTAACTGCATGATCTCTGCTTCACATGGTCGCGTAAGTTCTCCCCCTTTGAGAACAAGCGTGTGGGAGAGGCGCACGATGCGTGTTCCCTGGTAATCGTGGAGCAATGGTGCCGTTTTAAAGAGTTCTATCAGAGTTTCATCGGGGACCATGGTTATATCATAACCATCGAGGGGAAACTTGGTTCCAGGCTGTCTGCTTGCAAGCTGGCAGAGCATATTCTGTTAGCTGCTTCAGATAATGGCGGGGGGTTTTGCCTTACATCGAAATTCGGTGTACCAAGACGTTCAACTTTCATCATTTTGCAGAGACTTAATGGGCGACTACCCTCTCATTAAAAGTTAAGTAGCGAAATGTATTATCCTGCTTTCTTTCCTTTGCCTAGGCTTGTTAACTACGAGCTCATATCGTAGATGGGAGTGAAAAGCAGGAGGTAGAGTCGACGTCAGTAAATAAAACTTGAAGTTGATGCTCGGTAACCGGTGAGTTATTTAGTTAATAAGGGTGGTAATAAAAAGGATGAACAAGTAATTATACAGGTATAAAAGAAGGTAAGAAAATATTAACTGGGGCTTTTAGTTATCGGTTCTTCTATCCGTCACCATCTTCATTGTTTGGCTAATGCTGTCGAGTTTTGTTGCTGTCTCGTTGGATGATGCGACTAATGGCCTAGCTTAGCCGCCGTGTTGTTGGAAGATGTAACCAGCTCGTCAAACTTATTTAAGATACGATCACTATTAAGCTGTTAGCCTCCGAATATATAGCACTCAGTTATAACTAGGAGAATACTTACGATTCTGGTGCTTTGCGTCTAAATTCAATCATAATATATTGTCAGAATCTGCCATTCGGCCAAAAGGGCGAGCCCGCGCTGATTGGTGGCGGAGAGACTGGTTATATTTGACATATATCTACCTCTACGGGAGAGCCTAGTTAAAGAAGAGATAGTTAGTATATTGTAACAGTAATGGGTGGGCATTATATTACTTCATAGTGTACGGGTTAACGGCGTTGGCGAATATTAGTGTAATATATAGGATAATGAATGCATGATAGGAAATGCAACACATTTTCATTATTGGTTGCGGTGGTTGGAGAGGGGGGCTGTGGTGTTTATTTCAATAAAGAATTTCCCTGAGCTGGAGTTGTTGATGTTGTAATTTTCGGACATGTTGGGGGTTATAATATTTATTTATTCCCTCCGATGGGGTTTGGGGTATAAAACGCAGGCACAATTCAGGATAAGGAAGTCGAGTATCTGTCAGTTTTTGTATTAGTCAGCTACATCTCGCTTGGTTCAACGCACATTCGATAGTTAGAGCTTCAATATTATCAATCCTCCTTTTTGACAGTATCTTAAGCGGCTACCACCTACCCAATAACTATCTCAAAGTTTTGAGCTTTCCGTTGCTTCTTACTCCTCCTTTTTGGCAGCTCCTCGTAAGGTGGGGGAGGATCTTTCGTTGCGGACATCTTTGTGAGTAGTTATATATCTGGGCACAATGTTTCGAATAAGGCTCTTATGCTGTGGGGAGTGTTGGACGTTTTATATAGTATGTTAAAGTTAATAGTTACGGTTCTCATTGCGTCATCGACTCGACGGCTTCCAGTCGACTCTAGCTCAATTCAAAGCTATGAGAGAACTGGACAGGCATCATGTTGATAATGTTTATTTTGTAAGATACCGGATTTTATAATATGCCAATAAAGAGCCCGTATATGCTCCACCTAGCGAGGCAGAGAACAACGGCTTATTCTCCAATATAAAATGTGCCAGAATATCGGGTGTAAAAATGCAGACTTAGTGTTAGAATAGCTCAAAAATCTATCAGCCCCGCCACTTTTTTGAAAATATTTAGTTTTATTGAAGATATATTGTTCTTTTTCTACTTCTATTGCTATCGCTTTCTCCCGACCATTAAATTCTATAGTTAATACCACTGTGTCAAGACCCCACGACTATATAGAGCTGTGTCTAGATGTTAGTAGTGATATTGTAGTTATAGCTACGAAATATTTGATATTTGTCCAACCCAGTTCATATATATAATAGACAATGAGCGAACAAATCTAGCAATGCCTGTCTTAGTGACAGAAGGAGGTAAGAGGAGGTAAGAGCAACCCTGAAAGGGCTTGTTTAAACAACTATCGATTCACACTACTATAGTCTATGATTCAAGTAATTGCTTATGTTTATACTACGGTATTACTCCTTAATCATGGCCCAACATATCAAAGCGGAAATTGATCCAGCGAAGGCCCCAGAGACATCGAATAATATTAGAGAATATGTTCGAAGATATGGTACAGCAGGGCTGACCACCTCGTTCAGTAACTTGAACTCAGAGGCAGAGAAGAAAGCTCGAAGACAAGAGGCAATTAGCCATGTGCCCAAAGGGCAAAATACAGTAATAGATGAGGAACCACCTGCAGTTTTCAGAAAGCCAGGCGATCCTTTCATCACTAGAGAAACTAGTCGCAAGGAGAGTAAACGTACGTATGGTGTCCATATATAGTTAAGGTATATATCTTATATGAAGTAACAAATAATGGCTAATAAAGTTGAATTTAGACCAAGGGGGCATCTTAGGAAGTGCAATTTTAAAGGCTAGGAAGATAGGTGATCCGAATACTCTCATTAGCCACGGAATTAAAGGGAGAACCTCGAGAATTTATACGGACCCAACCCTGCAGCAGCAGCAAAATCTCGATATCAAGAGAAGAAGAGAAAAAGAGAGGAGATAAGCGAAGAGGAGGGGAAAAGAAGTACTTAGTGCGAATATTATCCAGCATTTGAAGCCATAATTTTAAATAAGTATTTAGATATGAATTAAGCGAAGCTGCAAGTAGCGAATAAAGCACTTTGAGGATGATAAACAAGAACTGATAGAGCCATTATCATACTACTAGTATAGCGCATCTGCCTTGCCCACGGCCCCATTCTTCGCTATGTCTGACGATATGAGGGCATTACACACATACACAGCCTATATAACTGGTACAGAGACTTAGGATGATGAACCATATGACATTAAGTTATAGCCTCCGAGAGTTAACCAATTAACGACTCAAGACATAGTTGATGACATCACTGAAAACGCCACGCTATGCCTTAATTTAAAAGGCCTAGCCGCTATGAGGGAAATTGATATTAATTCAGTATTCTTCGATATTCGAACACGATGCCAGTGACTGCTAGAAAAATGAATGAAAAGAGGCATAAGGAGGAAGAAGAAGCGTATGGTACAATTGAGGATCGAGTCTACTACGGCGCCATGATGTATCCGGTCTTTTGCACCGCTAGGATACCCTCACAGGTAAAGAATAATTACATATAGCTTTTGATTGATTCCACCGCTCTGCTCACAATTCAGCTAGGTACTAGACGAGTTTATCGACGAATCATATGCGGGAATAGTCGATATTACCGGAGAGGATAATGGTGGTGGATCCCCATGTATTCTTCAAACAACCGATCTGGAAACAATCACCCACGGCTCCCGTAAGCCAATGCCGGATTTCGAGTCTCCATTTCTCAACTGGACAGATGAGCAGATTCGAGACTGGGCAACAAAGGAGTCAAAGATTGAGCGTGGATATATTGCTTCAAGTACATTTACTATTCTTGATGAAAATACTATAGATGCGAAAGTATGTCGAGTGGGATATATTAGCATTAACGGCATAGAAAAGGCTGATTATCGAATGTTAAGCGAGGTATTTTATGCTGATTTAATGGTAAGAGTTCCTTTGGAAATGGCTGAGATAAGCTGGGACGAAACACTTTCCGGGGTAGATGGAGTATATGATAGAAAAGCAATCGAGGCAGAAGGGTAAGCAAAGCTATAAATAGCAAAATATGAAATGTTGTACCTAAAATGGTTAGTGTAAGGCGTACGGCGGACTAATTGAACCATGAGCTAAAATTCGTTTTCATACTATAAGCCTAGATACCACACAACTAACAATAGTGCTGATGGGGAACTCGGTGCACCTCTCGGGTCAACCATTGTTCCGATGACCGGGACGGGTGTACTTTCTTCCGCTTGACATCGGCCTACATTTACACTTGTCAAACTTCAACATCTGCCTACTATTAGAGTGGGCTCACTCCTTTTAGTGTAGTGGCAGATTCTGATAACACTCCTTATATGTATATAGATACACCCAACAATATTATCCAATATACACATATTCTGAGTTTCGTGTTGAGCATTGAGCAGTGACCGCGCGAGCTCCGATATACTATGACTTGTAGCCAATAAGGGTGCACCACCGGGCTGCCCTGCGTCATACCATTGATATGTTGGACTACATATTTGTTGTTGATGCTGATGTTGATGCATTACACCACCCATCTTGACGAGCCACGTCTATATGATATGGTGACACCGTTTATACCACCTCAATAGTATTATTTAAAATAGAAAGAAAATTATTAGGCTAAGGTTAAATACAAGGCCTCATCTACTCTATCCACGTTATTTACCTTACCTACCCTGCCCTACCTACTCTGCCTGTGATGGTTATTCAATTACTATCCAATTGGCACCAATGAACGAAGATTTAAAGTTAAAGAAAGGAAGAGAAGAGCGACGGCGGCCGTTGAGGCGCAACTAGCAAATGGGTCAAGTAGTCATCCATTTGGTGTTAATCACGTGACTACACGGTGTCGTGCCGGGACGGTTGACATTCATCATTCAACTGCTCGCTGCTGCTCGAATATGACAAAAGCCCAATTCCTTGTTTCTATCTCAATGCCTCACAATTATGCCCACATTGCCTTGAATTTCCTGTTAAACTCCGCTTGTAGCAATTTGAATCCTATAAGCACATTGGATATGTCGGAGCCCTTCCCATCATACGCGGCTGCGGAGCCGGCTTGGTCCTCTGATAACTGTTGCTTCTCTTTCCCTGTAGTCTCCTTTTCCTTCTCCCTCTTCTTCTCCTTTTTCAACTTTCCCTTCTTTGCTGTGGATTCGAATGTTCCACCATCGCTCTCATCGCTTTCCTCTTCATTCTCCCAGCTACCAGTCGCCCTCTGTTTGCGAGCCTGAGTCGTGGTAACTGGGATCGACGTGGATGCGTGCAGTCCCTTCGCTGCACCTCGATCGACAGCTTTCAAACCCTTCGAATTCGTAGTCTCTACTGTTTCCTGAATGGCTGCCGCGTCTAACTCATTTTCGTGAGTATCGCCAGTACCCATGGCATCTAAAATGCTCGCATCCGTGTTAGGAGAAAGTTTCAGGAAGTTTTCAAGGCTAGTCACGATTGTTGCGAGGACTAGAGAAAAATCATTTAGTAGAAACCAAATATCGCCATTTCGAATCCCGTTGTCCCGGTGGAGCGCATGTGCATTACCATGCTTGAAGAAGTCGTATAGATAGGCGTTGAGTGGAAACTGGCTTTCAGCCGGGTATATTCCTAGATATGGAACGACGGCCTTCTCGAGCCAAACACCACTTCGCATCATTTCACAGAGGTCGGATATATTTTTCCACTGGTCATGATGTCCTGATAGGGCGTAAAATGCAGAGGTATATCGCACAGGGCCCAGAGATTTAGCTCCTCCTAAATGCAGATCCTCGTCCCCGCCGCACTTCATACCGGTTAGGGGCAAAGTGCAATCAGGCTCCGCGACATGTTGATCCACATAAGTTTTGGCATATGCGCTGAATATGCGCAGTATTTCTTTATTATCGCGATGTAGTATCTTCACCGCGTGTGGTGGTAGGGGTGGAAGGACAATCATCGATGTGGACTTCTTATCCATCCTCTTTCGATTCTCGAGGACCGCTGCTCGGAGGGGTACACGTCCAAAAAGATGGGACATAACCAGCATCAGAGTACGGAGGGTATTCTCTCTTGAGTAACCCAGATTTCTGCACAGGCGGTGAAAGTAACCGCCCTTTAACAAAGCATGAAACGCGAAGCTGGAGTTCTCGACGAAGTAAAGGTGGGATACGCAGCCTGCAAAACCTAGAGGGGCTCCATTTGGCCCAAGAAGATGAGTACGGCGTAGATATTCGATAGAGAACCGCAGATGATGCAGGACAGTATCCCGCGCCTCTACTCCACCAAGATAAATGTGCGGGCATGATAAAAGAGAATTTATCATCTTTATCGCACTAGAGGCCTGTTTAGACCCATACAGTAATATAAACAGTCTTAAAACCAGGCTCGTTGTGACCGGGAAATGGCCATTAAGATCCGGAAGCCTTGAACTAAGCAAACGGCAGACCTTAGAATAAGGCATTGCCTGGAAAACAACATTTCCTAGCATGTCAAACCCTCGGCGTCCAGCACGACCGGCAGCTTGACGGAAATTAAGCGCTGTGAGAAAGATAGAGTCACCAGAGAAGACAACCGTTTTGCAGGGCATGTTGATACCAAGGGCTAAGGTCCACGCAAGTACCCTTACGGAAGAGTATCTCGCATACCTGACGGTATTTACGGTTCATACCAGCGTGATGGACACGATACCACGCCGGAGTGCGTCAATCACCGTTCTAGAACAAAGCGGTTCCTTAGTTCTGCTGCGTGCTCCCCGAATTCTGACTTTGTGAGCTTCTTCACGTCCATGAGATGAAACCCATCCACTGGATCTTCGGGATCAAACGAATCAAGTAGACTTGTTTCAGTATTGCCGCTTCCCACGCACGATCTCTTGAGACACCTCTTCGTGTCTCTTTATCCTGCTTTTTCTTCTTACTCTTCTTCCCCCCATTTGCGGTGGCATTCTTCTTGACTTGTTGGGCTTGTGATGCCTTCCACTTCTCCCACCGGACGAGTTTAGCTTTCCAGACTGGACATGATTTTTTCCAGGCTTCCTCGGCCTCTTCTAGTTGGGTGAGTAATTTAAGACAGATAATCTCACAGGCACTTCGATCATAATTGAAAAACAACGCTGGAAGCGCCCCATGCTCCTGTAGTGAGCATATTAAAGGGAGGGTTGAGTCAATGTAGGTATTAGCAATATCTTGGGGAGTTTCGGAAGGCAATCTGGGCTTATGTGGCGGCGAGATTTGTATCTCAGGCCGTTGTGCACTCCGCACAGAAAGCTCAAGTTCCTCCAAAACAAGTTCAAAGGGTGACTTTGGGTCTTCCATCCAGTTTTTCAAGAGCTGCTTCAGTTTTGCCTCCCAGCTAATAGTATCAACTTTGCGAATAATGTTCGGCAGAGCAACTTGTGGATCGAGTGACTTGTCGACGGGAAAGTCTGACGTTTGGTATTTAGTCATAGCCTTCCATAACATCCAGCAATCGCGTGGTTCAAGGTTTAGATCATTAGGCATTCCTCTCGAGCGGTCCATAAGGCAAGCCACTGGGTGCATAAACGCCAAACCCATACCGCCATCAAGGCCTAGAGGAGGGAATGGAATGGGATCTGGTAAACTGGTAAAGTGGAATATCTTTGGTGGTTTGTACACATATTTCCGTAGATCCGAATAACGGTGGCGGTGTTCTACCATTGTGATATCGATACCGTTTGCCCTTTGGGTGCTACTTAGCCACTTATAAAACGCCTGAGGATTACCCACTGTAGCCGATAAAGCTATAATAGGGCAAGGGGCAAGCAGAAGCAGCTGTTCCCATACAACACCGTCGTCAGCTTGGCCAATACAGTGTATTTCATCGAAGATGATTCGTTTTACTCGACAGGACCATGAGGTCGCATTGGCTGGTGCAAGTAGCATTATTTGTAGGATATGCGGGATCGTGACAAGGACTTGACAACCTGTAGGGTTGTTGATGCGATAATCGCGCGTATGTATAGCCCAGACAGACTTCCCGCCGTGCTTGAAAGATTTGGAAAATCTAGCCTGGATTTCGGCTGCTACCTGGTTAACGAGAGCCTTGGTTGGAGCGACATATACCAAGACCCCATTATCATCCTGTTGGAGCACTTTCTTCATTGCGTAGAATCTATATGCTTTGGAGTTAGTTCTAATACCCACAGCATACAGTAGCTACCAGCCACGCCATAAGAAGCCGCTCACGAGATAAATGTCTTCCCCGCTGAAGTGGGTGCAACCACAAATAAGCTTCTGTTGGCATCGATCTCATCTAACACATCCCGCTGCCATTTGTCCGGTTCAAAGTTGCGCACTCGAGAATCTGGTGCGGAGCCCATGTTTCGATCAAAGAACGGAGCTGCATGGACCAGCTGAAACTCCTTCGTGGACAACCTAATATCGACCGACCCCATCCCCAAGGACTCTAATATATCGGACCCACCCACTGCTAAGGATACCTGGGTAGGCTGGACAGGAAGCTCCACATCTGGTAACCGAAGTGCTTTCGTAGTTGCCAAAATATCTGCGGCTATATCTGGTGTTAATCCATCCTTCATCTTGCTGACACGGTAGACTATATCCCAAATAAATGCTGCAATATGCAGGGACCTGTCCCGTTCACCTGCGAAGCATCTGGAAACCCACAGCTTAACCAAAATGCTCAACAAGTAAGTCCAAATTTCGGCTTGCAACGCGACACTAGAGTCGCTTGGGCGATCAGACAAGTACTTTTTTACCTTGGTAAACCGGGAAGCGAGGTCATTCTCTTTGTGAAAATTGGCCTTCACAGTACGCCACGCCCGAAGCTGTTTGTCAATTAGTTCATTTCGTCTTTTCTCATTTGCGGCTAAAACGAGATCTTTCGCAGAGGGCTTTGATTTTCCATTAGACTTTGCTGGGTATTTCTCGTTAGCTTGGGAATGGGAACCTGGGCCCTTTGAAGACGTTAGCTTTCTCTCATCCTTAGCCGAATTTAGAAAGACTGTCTCCGGGTTCAGTACGCCCCCAGGAGCATTAGTTAGGCTGGCGGAATAATCTGTCATTTCAGCCATGAAGAATTGGTTGCGACGATTAGCACGAAAGGCCTCTCGTTCAGTCATTTTCACACTGGAGGTTTTGCTACCGATGGGACGATGGTGGTTGTGCCAATGGCTAAGCTCCAAGAAGACCCGTGAAGTATCTTTCCGAACGCCCTTGGAATCACTATCATCTATAGAAAGATGAACAGGCTCCAAATGGGGGTTGAAGACGGGATGGCTGAATGGGAGAACACCTAACCCAGATTTAGTCCCCTTTTTGGCTCTCCCTGCCATATTTAGTTTCCGCCGCGGCGTGCTTCTTTGCCTATTAGTATATATCGGAATTGCGGGAGGAAAAGAGGGGGGGGGGGGGGGGGGGCAAGGTATTTAAATTACTTGAATTCAACGAGCCAAGTTGCACATCAACACCACAGAGACGTTTCAACCAGGTTGAAAGGGTACTAAATCTGGAAGCTACTGATGGGTTAGTGATAATATGTGCGATATCCCCATTTAGGAGATGACAAAACAGTCGGCCATCTAGGAGATCTGCCAAGTCACAGGCCGACGACCTGTCGTGAATTATCGACTTCCAGGTATCAGACCTTAGGACTCGGCACGCTGCTTTAGTGAAATCTGTGAGAAAAGTACCACCCACGGTCACGCCTGGAACGGCCCGGTAAGATAATTGGCACTCGTGCAAAATGGCGTTCTGCAAAATTATTGACCGTAGTTCCGCTGTATTCTCTTGATCTAGTGAGGCAGATCGGTACATTAAGCCCAGCGCCAGAAGGAGGACTACATCGCGATGACTACGGTCTGCGTAATGAGAATCCTTTAAGGTATCCCAAAGTTCTTGCAGAATATGCACATCCTGTTGAATTTCCCCAGGCATTTGGAGGTTCTTCAACCTAGGCACCGCTATGTCTGATATCAGGAGCCCGTTAGGCTCTTTCTCCGGTCCATCAAATTTCTCAGTAGCTCCTACTTTGGCATCTTCGAGTTCATCAGACTCGGGCTCGCCAGATTCTGAGACTAATTCAAAGTCCTCAACATGGTCCGCGTAGAGAGTCCCAGTTTGTGTATCATTGTCCATAGGTTTATGCAGAGGTACAAGCCGAGCCCTTACTGCACTACCTTCAACAATCATTGCCATTACCTTCCTCGACGCATCAGTTCTGCCACAAAATAATGAGAAAGAGGGCCGGCGATCATACCTTGGTATCCCGACATTCTATGGCGTTGATAAGAGCGATATTGTAACCTAACCGAATGAACCAGTTTATCATAGACCTGAATCCGGTAGCATGATGGGCACTGTTACTCGTGGCGGATTGTGACCGATTCTCCTCAAGGCTGCTTTCGTCGGCTAGATCATCTTTATTATTAAATGTCCGTGGCTCTTCATGATCATCATCGGAGGAGGTATTTTCAGCCTCAGAATCATGATCACTGAAGGGTTTTCTGCCAACAAAGACGCCATCGTGACACATGACGAAGTAAGCTCCAGATGTAAATAAGTAACTTGTAAAGTCTTGTGAGTGGTAAGCGCCAAAAACCCTGATCTCGATCGACGGCGAAGATGTACGAAGGTTGGCTCGCAGGTGTTGAATGATAGACTCCCGTGCAAGGAAAAAGCGGGAATGCAGGGAACTAGGCGCGTTACGCGGGAAACATAACACAGAATTCTCGTCAAAAAAGACGATATGGAACCTACATTTTCGCTGGGACAGTGCGCGTAGGAAGTTCTCCAGAATGTAGGTGGCATGAAGCAGCTGGAATCCAGGGTTAAAGTCCAGTTTGGCATCAGAGAAGGTGTGGACGAGCAGCGAGTCTCCTTCGATGATAAACAGCTCGTCACCGGCATAGTCCCCCACCAGGTCAACAGTGCGAGACTCGAGAGACGCGTACCTAGAGAACGTATTAGAGAATGCCCAGCACCAGCAGCGGTTTCACGTAAGATTCCTACCAGTTCAACAGAGTTTCGGCGGTCCCCATCACGTCTGGCGCTCGTCGGCTAACAACTTAAAACGGGTTGTTCGTTTTGCGTTTTGTGGCGCCTCGTGGAGCCTAAATAATGAGACGCGGGATACCCCGCTTCTCCACGTATAGCACAGGGATAAAGAGCAAATACGGAATATCGATTATACGTATGCGAGAAAGGGAACTATTAACTTTTAACTAACTAGGTACCTAATATATAGTTAATTAACTTACGTCAACAAAGTCCTCTATCGACGACTGATTTATTAATAGAAACAGGGGCATTTAGGTAATCTAGAGTGTCCTTAGGGTTTTAGGGTTAACAATAATATAAACCTAGGCGCACAACTCAAAAGATTAAAAATTAAAAAAGGCGGCATCCGGGTAATCAATGGATATAATATTTTTCGTACTATATATATTTGCTATCTTCATCCACTTGGTATTATTATTCTTCATTATACTCATATAGTCTAAGACTATAAGGAGTTTATATTACAGACCATCTATAGCGTAGCCTAGATAACTACGCTTATTAGACACGACAGTAGAATGTCATGCCACGCAGCATGCGCCCACTAAGCCCACGTTACGTGGCATCTAACATCAAGCATATAAGCAGTGCAGCGACTAGAGATGACGAGCGTCATCACTGTGTATGATCTTTTGGTCGAATGGCATATGCTGTATCATCGCTGCCAGCATATACGGCCATTACAAAACTACTCTTTATAATATCAAATTTACTTTATTAATATAGCTGTTGAGATATTCGATTGAACAAGGCAGATATCGAGATTTGGCGCTGTTCTTGGGTGTTCGTTTACTGGTGATGATCGTTGGTTGGTGAAACGCGTTACCTGGAAAAGTTGCGTCTAGTTCCTTGGCGAGGTCAACAGCGACAAACCACTTTTTCGTAACGCTCGCATACTATCTTCCCCCTTGCAATCAAGACTAGCCGGATCTCATTACATTGCCAGCATGGCGGAGCTTTCATCAGAAGAAATATCTATCATCAAGGACCATCCTCTAACCGGCTCGCTTAATAGTTTATGCCAATTACTCCAAGAGACAGAGAAAGCCTACGAGTCACTTCTCATCTCAGAAGAGGGCGCCGTCGATAGTCTCAATCGGCTTTATCGAAACGCACTTTCAAAACTTGTGTTGGCTCTTATAGATGAAGCAGCAGCGTATAATCTTCATTCACGAATTGCCGATCAAAACGTGGAGTCCGACTTGATAGACTTGTTTAAGCATCTTCGGCGAGACCTCCAGTATGGCCACTACCGACCCCTAGTGCAGCTCATCATCCAAAAGGCCCCTGACGTTGACATATGGAAGGCCGTCTTTGATCTCATCGCTATTAACTCTAAAGAAACCTCCCCGGTGAACGTTCCTCCCACGTTCGATGGTACACCCGTCAAATCTACATCGTCGTCACAGAAGGGAACCGAACAGACGCGTCGGCTAGTGGAGGAAAGGATCTTTGAAGAGATTCGTAGTTGCACGTTTCGAGGCGTGGATGGCTTCTTAACCAAGTACTTTGAAGAGACAGACTGGAGTGCGCGATTGAATGCCATCTGCCAACGCGTCCTGGACTCTGCGAGTGGCGCGAGGTTCCCTAACCCACCCGTGCAGAACGATGTTCTTAAATGGTGGTTTCAGCTCCAAGATGATTTCCTCTCGGATGCGCGCAGCATATACTTCTCCACAGCAAGCAAAGCGGATCTTATTGGTTCTGAAGCGGAGCGACAGGTTGACCTTTTGCTAAAGGCCCGAGTTCAAGGTGATTCTGAAGAAGAGAAGCATGATTGGAAAGATATCCTTGTGGTAGGCGAATTAAAGCAGTCATCAAATGAGATCCAGACAAAAGACACACTACTTCAGCTTGCGCGCTATGTACGAGAGGTATTTATCGCACAGCCAACTCGCCTATTTGTCCATGCATTCGTTGTCTGCGGTACTAAGCTTGAAGCCTGGGTATTTGACCGCTCCGGGCCCTATAGCTCTGGCGTGTTAGATATCTATAAGGACGCGAAGCAGTGTTTTCAGGTGATCTTGGGCTACGCTATGATGAGTGATGAGGAGCTAGGGCTTGACACCTTCACCACACTTAATGCGAATGGAGACCGTACGATAACTATCAATAGCGCCGGGAATACAGAAGAAATAGTGTTACGACTCCACTCAACGCCGCTCTGCTCCCAGTACGCCATTGTATGTCGCGGGACAAGCTGTTTTCTTACAAACGGCGGTGATACAGTGGAGGGAGTAGCAAAATTCTCATGGACATCGGACAAGCGGCAGCCAGAGGCAGACCTCCTCCAGCTTGCCTGCCAGAGAGGTGTCCAAGGAATCGCGAAAGTTATCGGGTACCGCACCATCACCACCATTGCAGACCTGCGTTGCCGCCTGACATTTGGCAGTCGCTATACCTTTCGGGGTCGGAGACGCCGTGTGGCTTCACTGCTCGCACACTCGCGATCTCGCAGCACCCCGTCTCAGCCACTAACTCAGCTTCATAGCCCCGCTGGCACATCTAGAAAGCGTAGATTACCAGACGCCGGACCGCGAGCCTCCAAACGATTACGGTCCAGTAACCGGCAGCGCAGAACAGAGCGACCGGAGCTTACTTTCTCAGTTGAGCCAGTACATAAACCCAGTCTATTCAACGAGGATGATGAGGTTTATGATAACCGCATCCTCCGCTGCCTGGTTATCTCACCCGCTGGCCGACCAATCTACGAATATAAATCACGGTTAGAGCTGCTCATAGCACTCCGAGATGGATTAATGGCGCACCGGTCTCTGTACCTTGATGGGAAGATTCTTCATAGGGATATCTCAGAGAACAACATCATCATTACCGATCCTGATAGCGCTGGTGGCAGGTCAGGCATGCTTATTGACCTTGATCTTGCTAAGAAGGTCGGCAGCGAACCAAGCGGAGCACGACACCGAACAGGAACGATGGAATTCATGGCGATTGAGGTGTTACTTAATGTGGACCACACTTATCGCCATGATCTAGAGTCTTTTTTTTACGTGCTTATCTGGCAGTGCGCCCGTCGCGGGTGGCAGAAGTTAAGAAATCCACGACAATTACAGGGCCAACCCAAAAAGAGTCTATTAGATGGATGGTACACTGGCTCCTATGAGCAAATTTCCAGAATGAAACGAGCTGATATGAGTGTGGATGGGTTTGGAGATATCTTGCAGGAGTTCCCCCCGTTATTTGATTGTGTCAAGCCACTCTGCAGCGCCATACGAGACATACTCTTTCCTTACAAGAATGGGCTTATCGTCGGCACCCCCCAAGACCCAAAACAGCTGTATGAACCTATTCTCAAGGCGTATGAGGACGCGATCTCTCAACTTGCAAACGACCTTTAATCTAGTTCCCACTCATTACTGTCAGACGCAGAGACTCGTTACTGGTCCACGGAGTTAGAAGTGACAGGACTGGTATGGACCCTACGGAAGGTGCACCACATGGTCGAAAGTGCACCGCTCGACTCACCCTCCACTACCACTATTGCTAAACAAACGACGCTCAACACGACGTCGCTAGAGTGACTCAAACTACGTCTCGTGCGAGCGTCTCAGTACATCCAACAGTTCAAGCTCCTCGTTCACCACAGACCAGGAGCCACCAATGCCGTCGCGGACGGCAACGCAATGGGGAGCAGCGCTACTCAACGTCCTTCTGCCTGGTGACTGGGGCCTCCCACGCCGCATAATCTCGGATAGGGACGTCAAATTCCTCGCAGACGTTTGGAAGGTCATTTTCAACAGTCTCAACGTCACGCTGCTCTACTCTACAGCATGGCACCCACAGACAGATAGGCAATCCGAACGAACAAACTAGATGATAGAAATAATGCTCACTCC